GCTTTAAAAGTTTGTAAACTAAGAACAGGAAATTTGAGTATAGAGCTTCTAAAACATAGCAAAAAAGAAAATGTAAATACATGTTTTTTGGTTGATATTTGCCTTAATAAGAAATAGGTGCAGTAAGATTTAAAATATTAAGATACATAAAATATGTGTACATGCATGGGAATTTCTGAATGTAGTGGACTTGTGTACAAGAATCATAATTTGGACCCCCTTTCAGGACAAAAATAAAATGAGGTGTGCTGTGGCAGAAAGTGGTTTGCACTGAGATAAAAAATAGGCGTGGCTGAAAGTGGTGTAGTTAAATGAGTCCGAGATGACTTGCTTAGTATATAATGAGACGATGTGGAATAGGAAATGTACAGCACAACGTACTGAATGAGGCTGTGCAGAATAGGGAATGTACAGTGCAGTGTATAGTTGGGGTGTTGAGGCATAAACAATGACCAGCACAGCATACAGAATTATGCTGTGCAGGACTAGTAATGTACAACACAGTGTATAGATGGGGTGGTCTGGAATAGGAAATGCCCATCCCGGCTTACAGAATGAGTTTGTGCAGAATAGGGAATGTATAGCGCAGTATATAGATAGGGCAACGTGGAATGGACAATGTACAACACAACATACAGAATGAGGCTGTGTAGAATAGGGAATGTACAACACAGTGTATAGTTGGGGAGGTGTGGAATTGGCAATATACAGCACAGCATACAGAATGAGGCTGTGCAGAATAGAGAATGTACAGCACAATGTATAGATGGGTGGTCTAGAATAGGGAAGGTACAGCGCAGCTTTCAGAATGTGACTGTGCAGAATAGGAAATGTACACTGCAGTGTATAGTTGGGGTGGTGTGGAAAAGGGAATGTACAGCACAGCATACAGAATGAGGTTTTGTAGAATAGGTAATGTACAGTGCAGTGTATAGATAGGGCAGTGTGGAATAGGCAACGTACAGCACGGCTTACAGAATGAGGATGTGCAGAATAGGGAAAGCACAGCACTGTGCATAGATGGAGCAGAGTGGAATAGACAATGTACAGCAACAGGCATGCTGAAGAATAGGCAGTGTACAGCCCAGCGTACAGAATGTAGCTGTGCAAACTAGGGAATGTACAGCACAGTGTACAGAATGAAGCTGTGCAGAATAAGGAAAGCACAGTGCTTTGCATAGATGGGACAGTGTGCAATGCAATAGGGAACGTACAGCTCAGAGTACAGGATGAGGGTGTGCAGAATAGGGAATGTACAGCACAGAGTATAGATGGGGTGGTGTGAAGTTGGGAATGTACAGCACAGAGTACAGAAAAGAATAGAAAGTTATATTTGAGGCAAAGTTTCAGAAACAATGATCTAGTACAGAGATGTGTGCAGTGTACCATAATATACAATTTTACGGTAACCCAGCTCTATGAATATAGTGAATGTGGAAAAACCAAATGATTACAGAGTAAAAGGATCAAATAATGTATCCTTCTAACATTGTTTTTCCACAGTCACAATACTTATAGGATTGGGTTACTGTGAAGTGGTATAATCTGGTACTGGACACAGTTATAAGAGTGATAACAGTTATCATAAATGTCATCACTCGTGGTTGTCCAGCAACAGATAGAAGAATAGATTTAAAGCAATCTTACCAGACCAAGATAAAATAGCAAATTTGAGACTTTATAGGTATTACACTTACTAACAAAATAAATAAAGTGTTCAAAATCAATTTTTCTTTATTGTACCTTAAATGTACTGTATATAAAACATTTTTTAAAAGCCAATATGTACACCTTGAATGCTGCTCCATTACATACATATATTCCATGAGTTTATTCAATACATATCCTCAGGTATACATTTCCTAACCATCAACCTTAGTTCACATACAGCTACAGTGCTCAGCATAAATGAGTACACCACTTCTGAAAAATAAGATTTTAATAAATATCTCAATGAACACAAGAACAATTTCCAAAATTTTGACAAAACTGAGTTTTATAGAATATCTGTTTAGCTCATTACATAAAAGTAAGGTAATAATATAACTTGGATTACAAAATCTTCAGTTTTACGCAAATAAGTTGATGCAAAAATGAATACACTCCACAACAAAAAACTACTACATCTAGCATTTTGTATGACCTCTATGATTTGTAAGGACAGCACCAAGTCTTCTAGGCATGGAATGAAAAAATTGGTGACATATTGCAACATATATCTTTTTCCATTCTTCAAGAACGACCTCTTTTAGAGCCTGGATGCTGGATGGAGAGTGATGGTCTACTTGTCTCTGCAGAATTCCCCATAGGTGTTGGATTGGGTTCAGAGCAGGAGACAAGCTTGGCCACTGAATCACTTTCACCCTGTTCTTCTTCAGAAATATAACAGTGGCTTTAGATGTGTGTTTTGGATCGTTGTCATATTGGAAAAGTGCACGACGACCAAGCACATGGAGTGATGGTAGCATCTTCTCATTCAAAATAGAGCAGTACATCTGTGAATTCATGATACCAGCAATGATATGTAGTTACCCAACATCAGCAGCACTCCTGCAGACAGACAGAAGGGAACTGACACCACCATGTTTCACTCTAGGCACCATGCATTTTTCTTTGTACTCCTCAACTTTTCAACGCCATACAGTTTTGAATCCATCATTTCCAAAAACATTTATCTTGGTCTCATCACTCCAGACTATAAAGTCCCAATAGTCTTCTTCTTTTTCAGCATGGACCCCTGGCAAATTCTTGGTGGGCATTTTTTGCACGGGCTTTAGGAAAGTCTTCCTTCGTGGACGACCCCCCATACATGGCATTCTTCTGCAGTGTATGCCGTATTCTGTCATGGGAAACAATCACTCCAGTTGGCTTTCTACTTCTTTAGTTAACTGCAGTGAACTTGCATGGCGATTTTCTTCAACCCTTCTCATCAGGAGACACTCCTGTCGAGGTGCTAACTTCCGTGGATGGCCTGGACATCTCTGTGAGATGGTTGCTGTTAGGAATGGACTGGCCAGCAATGGTGGGACTCACCTGCCTTTTGATCTGCAGTACCAGGGCTGGCCAGCGGGTGCTCCCAGCAATCAGAGACTCAACCTTTCAGCCAGCTAACACCTGGAACTGATGATACTGGGGTATTTAAGGGATGGCCAGACTTGCAGACTCTGCCTTGGTGTTGTGTTTGTCCTGGGCCCTGTATCTGTCCTGCATCCTGTTTCTGTTCCTTTGCTGACTTCTCCTGCTCTGATCCTGGCTTGTGACCCTGACCATCCCTCTGTCTGACCCTCTGTACTACGCTGCTTGCTACCTGTTCTGATCCCTGGCTTGTGACCCGGACCATCCCTCTGCCTGACCCTCTGTACTATGCTGCTTGCTACCTGCTGAACCTGGCCTGTGACCCCGACCATTCTCCGCTTGCTCCCCCTGTACCTACCTGCCCAATTGATATTGACCCGGCCTGCCTGACGACGCTTGCTTGTATATACTGTTATCTGTGGGTGGTTTGGTTTGTTTGCACCGTATTATGTTTTAGTATTGCACTGCGTTTATGTTTGTACTGTTAGTGTTAATAAATTGTTTATAACATATCTGAGGTCTGCGTTTCCCTGCTTCAGTCACACACCTCTGGTCATACCTGGGAGCCCTGACATTACACCAAGGCCAATCCTGACCAGAAGTGGCTGCACAGGGAAGCCATCTTGGCTTGTTGATGGGAAGGATGGATCTTGAGGAGGTTGAGTATTTATATCTGCTAGTGTTTGATGACAGGAGTATGCTTATCAAACTCTGAAGGAGTATACCCGGGATGAATTGCTAGAATGTATACGGCTCGCTCATGTTCTAGTAGATCAGGGCACAGTGTTCTCTGAGGTGCAGCCATTGATTGAGGTTTGTGCAGAGTTGGTTTCATCTGGTTCCCCCGAATGCAGGGATGAATTTTTGCCACCATTTAGTGCAGACCAGGTAGAGTCCCTGGTGTGGTTATTAGAGGATGATGTGGGTTACTTTCTGGAGCGTTATTCCACATGTTCACCACAGACACTGAGAGATTGTATAAACGCAGTGCAGTCATTGACCAGACAGACTTTGTGTAAGCTCAGCTTTGTTCAACCCCTACTGCAGACATGGACAGATTTGTTGCACCCAGCCTCAGTCAGCTTACAAAGACCCAGTCCTGCTTCTAACTCTACTCCTGTATTCCCACCAGCTCCTCCAGTTACAGCCCAGTATACTTGGCTATCTACCGCATGTCAGTACCCTGTTCCCACTCGCTGCACCTATCCTGCCTTTAACCCTGTAAAAAAGCCCTCTGTAGCAACTGCTCCCTCTCCTGTTCCATCCTCCAGTTCTTCTCTGTCTCCAGCTGCTCCATTCGTTTGCAGACCTGCGTTTACTTGCAGTGCTCCAGTAGTTAAAACCAGAAAAAAGCGAAAATTCTTTCCAACCAATACCATCCTGCCAGTATCCAAACCGGTGAGCCTGCCTTCCGTGGTTCAGACTGATGCCTGTACGCAGCCTGATGCCTCTACTCGGCCTGAAGCCTCTACTCGGCCTGAAGCCTCTACTCGCCTGATGCCTGTACTCGGCCTGATGCCTCTACTCGGCCTGAAGCCTCTACGCGGCCTGAAGCCTCTCCTCAGCCTGAAGCCTCTACGCGGCCTGAAGCCTCTCCTCAGCCTGAAGCCTCTACGCGCCTGAAGCCTCTACGCGGCCTGAAGCCTCTACTCGGCCTGATGCCTGTACTCGGCCTGATGCCTCTCTTCAGCCTGAAGCCTCTACTCGGCCTGATGCCTCTACTCGGCCTGATGCCTCTACTCGGCCTGATGCCTCTACTCGGCCTGAAGCCTCTACTCGGCCTAATGCCTCTACCCAGCATGATGAACTGATCCAGCCTGACGATCCTATTAGGCCAGTTGACTCGATGCCCGCTGTTGATCCAGATGATCCGGTACCTGATCCGGTGCCCGCTGTCGTGCCAATTGACTCAGAGCCCGCTGTCGTACCTGGTGACTCGGTGCCCACTGCCTTGCCAGATGACGCGGTGCCCGCTGGCAAGCCAAATGACCTGATGCCTGGTGACCTAGTGTCCGCTGTCATACCTGATGACCCGATGCCCGCTGTCGAGCCAGACAATCCGGTACCTGATGACCCGGTGCCCACTGTCGTGCCTGTTGACTCGGAGACCACTGCCTTGCCAGATGACGCGGTGCCCGCTGTCGAGCCAAATGACCTGATGCCTGGTGACCCGATGCCGCTGTCCAGTCAGACGATCCAATGTCTGACCCAGTGCCCGCGGTCATACCAGTTTGACTCGGAGCCCACTGCCTTGCCAGATGACGCGGTGCCCGCGGTCCGAGCCAAATGACCTGATGCCTGGTGACCCGATGCCCGCTGTCCAGCCAGACGATCCAATGTCTGACCCAGTGCCCGCGGTCATACCAGTTGACTCGGAGCCCACTGCCTTGCCAGATGACGCGGTGCCCGCTGTCGAGCCAAATGACCTGATGCCTGGTGACCCGATGCCCGCTGTCCAGCCAGACCATCCAATGTCTGACCCAGTGCCTGCGGTCATACCAGTTGACTCGGAGCCCACTGTCGTGCCTGGTGTCTCGGTGCCCGCCGCTCCGCCTGGGGGCCCGAGACCTGTTGCTCCGCTTGGGGGTCCAGCGCCCGCCCGCTCCCGCCTGGGGATCCGGCGCCCGCCGCCCCGCCTGGGGGCCTGAGACCTGTCGCTCCGCGCCTGAGGGCCCGAGACCTGTCGCTCCGCCTGGGGGTCCGGCACCTGCCACTCCGCTTGAGGGCCCGAGACCTGTCGCTCCTCCTGGGGGTCCGGCGCCCGCCGCTCCGCTTGAGGGCCCGAGACCTGTCGCTCCTCCTGGGGGTCCGGCGCCCGCCGCTCCGCCTGAGGGCCCGAGACCTGTCGCTCCACCTGGGGGTCCGGCGCCCGCCGCTGAGGTACCTGACCCTGGTCGCTCCACCTGGGGTCCGGCCGCCCTGCCTGGGCCCGAGACCTGTCGCTCCTCCTGGGGTCCGGCGCCCGCCGCTCCGCCTGAGGGCCCGAGACCTGTCGCTCCTCCTGGGGGTCCGGCGCCCGCCGCTCCGCCTGAGGGCCCGAGACCTGTCGCTCCGCCTGGGGGTCCGGCGCCCGCCGCTCCGCCTGAGGGCCCGAGACCTGTCGCTCCGCCTGGGGGTCCGGCGCCCGTCGCTCCGCCTGAGGGCCCGAGACCTGTCGCTCCACCTGGGGGTCCGGCGCCCGCCGCTCCGCCTGAGGGCCCGAGACCTGTCGCTCCTCCTGGGGGTCCGGCGCCCGCCGCTCCGCCTGAGGGCCCGAGACCTGTCGCTCCATCTGGAGGTCCGGCGCCCGCCGCTCCGCCTGGGGGCACGATGCCTGTCGCCCCGCCTGGGGGCACGATGCCCGTCGCCCCGCCTGGGGGCACGATGCCCGTCGCCCCGCCTGGGGGCACGATGCCCGTCGCCCCGCCTGGGGGCCCGATGCCCGTCGCCCCTCCTGGGGGCCCGAAGCCCGTCGCCCCTCCGGGGGGCCCGATGCCTGTCGCCCCGCTTGGGGGCCCGATGCCTGTCGCCCCGCTTGGGGGCACGATGCCTGTCGCCCCGCCTGGGGGCCCGGTGCCTGTCGCCCCGCCTGGGGGCCCGGTGCCTGTCGCCCCGCCTGGGGGCCCGGTGCCTGCTGCCCCGCCCGGGGGCCCGGTGCCTGCTGCCCCGCCCGGGGGCCCGGTGCCTGCTGCCCCGCCCGGGGGCCCGGTGCCTGCTGCCCCGCCCGGGGGCCCGGTGCCTGCTGCTCCGCCCGGGGGGCCCGGTGCCTGCTGCTCCGCCCGGGGGCCCGGAGCCTGTCGCCCCGCCCAGGGGCCCGGAGCCTGTCGCCCCGCCCGGGGGCCCGGAGCCTGTCGCCCCGCCGGGGGCCCGGAGCCTGCCGCCCCGCCCGGGGGCCCGGTGCCTGCCGATCCGCCCGGGGGCCCGCTGCCTGCTGCTCCGCCTGGTGGCCCGCTGCCTGCTGCTTCGCCTGGTAATCCGATGTGCCTCTGCCCGGAGTCCTGCCCGATGTGCCTCTGCCCGGAGTCCTACCCGATGTGCCTCTGCCCGGAGTCCTGCCCGATGTGCCTCTGCCCGGAGTCCTGCCCGATGTGCCTCTGCCCGGAGTCCTGCCTGATGTGCCTCTGCCCGATGTGCCTCTGCCCGATGTGCCTCTGCCCGATGTGCCTCTGCCCGGTGTGCCTCTGCCCGGTGTGCTGCTGCCCGGAGTCCAGCCCGGTGTGCCGCTGCCCGGAGTCCTGCCCGGTGTGCCCCAGTCTTTGATATCCCGCCAGTTGCCAGACCCGGGCGGTGGAACATTTTGCCCAGCTAGGACTGTTTGGAGCGTCCTGAGGCCGCTCCTTGAGGGGGGGGTACTGTTAGGAATGGACTGGCCAGCAATGGTGGGACTCACCTGCCTTTTGATCTGCAGTACCAGGGGCTGGCCAGCGGGTGCTCCCAGCAATCAGAGACTCAACCTTTCAGCCAGCTAACACCTGGAACTGATGATACTGGGGTATTTAAGGGATGGCCAGACTTGCAGACTCTGCCTTGGTGTTGTGTTTGTCCTGGGCCTTATCTGTCCTGCATCCTGTTTCTGTTCCTTTGCTGACTTCTCCTGCTCTGATCCTGGCTTGTGACCCTGACCATCCCTCTGTCTGACCCTCTGTACTACGCTGCTTGCTACCTGTTCTGATCCCTGGCTTGTGACCCGGACCATCCCTCTGCCTGACCCTCTGTACTATGCTGCTTGCTACCTGCTGAACCTGGCCTGTGACCCCGACCATTCTCCGCTTGCTCCCCCTGTACCTACCTGCCCAATTGATATTGACCCGGCCTGCCTGACGACGCTTGCTTGTATATACTGTTATCTGTGGGTGGTTTGGTTTGGTTTGTTTGCACCGTATTATGTTTTAGTATTGCACTGCGTTTATGTTTGTACTGTTAGTGTTAATAAATTATATTGTTTATAACATATCTGAGGTCTGCGTTTCCCTGCTTCAGTCACACACCTCTGGTCATACCTGGGAGCCCTGACAGTTGCAGTTCCATCTTTATTAAATTTTTGTATCTCTTTTGCTAAAGTATTCTGGCTGATAAGTAAAGCTTTGCTGATCCTCTTGCAGCTTTCACCTTTCTTTTGTGAAGCAACTATTTTCTTTTTGAAGCCTTGAGACATTTCTCTTCCTTGTGGTGCCATTGCTGACAGCATGAAATGGGAGGGGGTTTTCTTTGTTAAATAACGTCCTTTTATAATCAACTGTCTGCTGGACACCTGTTTAATGAATATTTGGACTCACCTGTAGTGTAATTCTTGTTCATTAGGATTTTGATGTTTAAAATGTAGCTTTGCTACTAAGACTTTAATTGGGATGTATTCATTTTGCAACACAGTCTTGAATGAATTTGTTAGGAAAAATACTTTTTTTGTGTGTGCAAATTAACAAATCTTGTTTTCAATCTATGGCCCACATTTCTGGGAGTATTTTGTAATATAGTGTCCCATTTTGATAGGAAAGTAAAGGTTTTCTGACAAATCTGTTGGGGTGTATTCATTTATGCTGAGCACTGCAAAATAAAAGTCCACTTTCAATGGCTGCATGTGTACCTGTTGGAGAGCTACTTTCTAAGGGGCCTTTCAGATGGGGCAGACCTGTCAGCAGATCCGCTTGCTCAGCAGGGGATCTCTCCACTGATCTCCGCTGAGCAAGCGGTGACAGGTCTGTGTTCACTCCGCTTATGCAGAATGAACACAGACACAGCCCTCTGTTTTCTATGGGGCAGTCGGATGGAAATGGACTGCCTGTCCGTTTCCATCTGACTGTCATCTGATTTGATCCACCAGACTAATGGGGAATGGATGCCCGTCCATCTGTTTTTAGTGTAGATGATCGGATCAGATGCCAGCGGGTGTCAGCAGACACATGTCTACTGACACCCACCTCTCCCTAGAGAGCTATAGATGGTTTGATTGGGTCCATCTTAAAATGTGACAGGCGGACCCAATCGGACCGTCAGTGTGAAAGGGGTCATTGTTAAAATATTTGCCATGTTTTTTAAAGTTGCCTTTGACCCCTTTGGGGAAATTTATCCTCACTTCTGCTTTGATCACTGGCACTTTCCTGCTTTATCCAAAACATAACAAAGGTAACGTTGAGCTTGAATATGTAGAAAAATATCAAATGTCAGCTATGAGACTTGGCAAGTTAACTATCTCTAACAAGAACTGGACAACAGACAAGTCCATTGCATATTGCTGAAAGTGGAGTTTACTATTAGCTTAGGAAGGGGTTTTACAGTAAGAGTGGATAAGCTGTACAATCTCACTACCTGAGGAAGTAATAATAAAATCAATAATAATAATGCCATTTATAAAGGTACTGGATTTTGTTCTTGGAGCCAATGATCACTAACAGCTACAATTACTAAAGGAAAGTTTAGAAATATTTTGATCTCGGAATTTGATTGGCCATTTGTATAGTTAGGCAGGACTTTTTTGACCATAGGCAAAATTAGCTACAGTTGTTGGGTAGCAGGTTTTATTTTTTCTTCCTTAGTATTAAAACTACAAGTGTTGTAAGATTCGAATTTGATGACCATGATTTTTTTTAACAGTCTAACACAGTTTTTGAAACAAAAAAAATAATATTGTACTTTTTCTTGTTTTCTTGTGTTTAAGTGTACTTATACCTAAAAATAATATGTTTTAATTACTTAGCGGATATGTTGTATACCTGAATTGGACGAATCCCAGTGAGCAGGTTTGGCCAAAACAGGTGAAGTCCCCTGATCACCAGAATATCCTGTCCAGGACAGGTAGCCATTTCCTTCACTGCCAGTATTGTGCTTTCATCATTCACAACCCCATTGTTTCTGTTAGATTGCAAATGGGCACAGAGCAAAATAAACACACACTTGAGCTTAGAATACACCTGGAGATAGATTTTTGTGAACCTTGTAGATTATTATCTCTGTATTGACCACAGTCACCTGTTTATTGGTCTCCTGCACTTCAAGTGTCAGGTTTATCAGTAGCCATTCTTCAAGTCAGTAGCCATTCCTCAAGTCATTAGCTCCTGTCTAATAAATAGCTATTGGCACCATATAAACTAGGGTAAGGACCCTTTCAGAACAATGTGCATGGAGTAACCCATGCATTATTACTACAGG